ATTTGCTGAAATACAACACCATTGAATCCATCAATCCCAATATCTCCTTTCGAAGGTGATCTCATCACTTGTTCTTTTATAGTACGTTTTAATTCATTATCGTCCTTTTCTGATGTTTTCATTACATGTCGTACATAATACTCATCGATTTTATCATCTCTTGAATCACCACTACGGGTTTGTTGTAGACAAAAACGAGCAATATGGCCCACCTTTCGACATTTATAACATAGGCGTGATCTTCTATTTTTCCATTGTTTAAATCTCACCTCCTTTAAATTTTTCACAACCTCCTTCGTAACCATTTCTACAATCATTTCAATTAATGACATCAAACTATTCTCATTCTCCATTTTCGTCTCAACTTCACAAAAGGTTTTCTCTTAATACCAATGTCCACGAAGAGCTTAACCTTAATGTTCAGCAATCAAATCACACAGTTCAACGAGGGTATTGCTTCTTGCCCAGGTCCTTTATATCACGGAGTTACCCAAACTACCGTGTACTTCTTGATATTTACTACCTGTCTTTACTCGCTTGGCTAATATATACGATAACTGGAGTATCATGCCAGATACTACCACTGATAATGTACTCACACAGATAACAGTTTATTCACTAAGAATAATTCAAAGAGCCAAAGTTAGGCATTTCCTCTATTTGGATCGATGCCTTATATATTAATACTAATCACTAATGATTACTACATCGTTCATGCAATACGCTTCTGATTACTATATTGTTCATGCAATCACTATTTTAAACTTTTTAATTATATCGTGATCACCCGATATATTATGCATTAATTAGATCACCGATCAACACGTACCCGATCAACACGTACCCGATCACGATCAGGTGACCCGTGATCATACCTAACCCTAGCAATACCGATACAAGGGGTGTTGGTCGTCAGCACGATATTATATGCTTATTTAGATCTTTATTACTATATAATTTTTAAATAAATTTAAACTATTATGAATAAAATACAAACCAATTTCAATATTATCTTTAAATTGCTGAATATTGCAACATTCAACCTGATACTTATAAGCTAACAGAAATATTTGTTGAAGTAGCATAGGTAGGTTCGATATATTCAATGTTTATTTAAGTTTCAATTTGATAGTTTCTTGTAATTAACGAAATAATAAATTGCTCACACAATATTAAAACTGCGTCTGTAATATGTTTGCTTTTTTTTTTTTTCTTGCAGAAAGAAAAAACAAACAAAAATATTATGCTAAGTTAACGCTAATTACAATATTGATTATTAACTTTTTATGTAAATATGTATTGTTTAACATTATGAAACACGTAATTTTGGTTTCTAGTTCTGAATATTCTTATAATTCTAATCTATCTTTTCAGACGATCATCTAATCCTAACCTGGTACATATTTTCTGAATACTTAATTTAATCGATATAATGAAATTTGCAATTAGCAAAATTTAATTTAATTGATACTACAGAATTCATAGCTAAAATATACATACAATTTTTTTAATCGATATAACAGAATTCGCAGTTAAATGGTTCAAATGCCGAAATTCTGCATAAATTATAAAAAATATAGATTAATTATTTAGTTCTAATGTTGTCGAATTATAGACGAAATTTTAATAAATGTATAGTTTAAATATATTGTAAAATTTGTATATTAAATATTTATAATAACTTTAATAATACCGAATATTGACAAACTTTTAATAAAAATCACATATATATATCAATTATGCAATCAAAAATTCATATATTAGATAATTAATTCTAATATTGTTGAATTAATGTCAAATTTTATAAAATTTATTTTATATACAATAAGAAATTTTTATATATTGAAAACAATTACGTTTTTATCTAAAATAAGTAATTTAATTAATGTATTGTTCACGAATAAGAACTAAATTATTTTTAATATATTAATAGATAATGTATTGTCATGTCATTAATTTATAATAAATAAATATATATCTTTAAATTATATAAATATCGTCAAGTTTCGATAAAAAAAAAAATATTGCTTATTGCAAATTTTATTTTTAATTGGCAAGTTTTGTTTAAAAAAACTATTGCTTTTTT